AGGAGGGATGAGCGGCCGCCCATTGAGAGAATTTCGCCGGAACTGGTTTGGCAGTGGCCGGTCTGATCTGCAGGCGACTCGCTTCATCTAGTGTGCTCCGTAGTAGCAGGTAGCCCACTCTGCCACTCTGCCCACATACTACTACTGTGGTGCGCGTATCAAGCATTCTTTGCCTGCAACTGCTGGAGAAAAGACCCTGTGGGACTGGACTCACTGGCCCAGAAGCATCGCAGGGTTGATGGCCGGGTTGGGCGCTTAGAGGTCGGAGCGTCAATATCAGACAACCGTGCTGCCCTGGTTGCGTATACTATGGCGTGCTGCGTGGATCGTGGTCTATTCAGAGAACAGTAGCACCGGCCACGGCTAGATTGGCGACCAGTTCTCGCTTCCTGATGGACGCATGGATGTTTTGATGCTGGTGGTTCCTGGCAGGCCTGGCAGGCCTGGCAGACCTAGCAGGCGGGTGGCTGGTGGCTGCCAGTGGTGGCTGTTTGGAGCCACAGTGGTGGATATCGCCATGGTTTGACCTCTGATGCCGTCGAGGTCATCGTGCGTCCCATTCTGTCATATCCAATCCTGCCCGGGCGTCTACCCCTCCTTCAGATCTTCAGATGGGCATCCACTCCATTTTCAGCCAGCCAGCCAGCCAACCTAGCAGCAGCCACTGCGAGGTACGAGGTTGAATCTTGCCTCAGACTCAGACCCCACCTTGGACAACGCAAAAAGGAGGAGGCCCAGGTAGCATGAGGAGGGGTCGAGTTCGAAGAGGGGCAGAGGAGGGGCAGAGGGGCAGAGGGGTAGCTAGGTAGGCTGGCTGGCAGGCAGGCAGGGTGTCATGTCCAAATCATGCTGTCGAGGTGAAGAGGTTCGATCCGAGTCGGGTCGATGCGAGTGTAAGACAAAGGTCAACAAGGCTCTGCTGCACCACGAGTCATCAGGGTCATCCGATGCATGTAACCGTGGTGTTGGAAGAACCGACTGGCATGTTCTGGACCGTCGGATGCGCAGAGCCAGATGGGATAGGACAGCGAAGCACAGGACAAGCAGCGACGGCAGCAAACGGATGGAGATAGATCGTCAGGTGGGAACAGGTGGACAGGGTGGATATCCAGCATATCGTGAGGCTGAGCTTTGTCGCGGTAATTAATTAAGATCTGAGCAGAGTTTAGGGGTCCTCCTCGGCTCAGCTTTTCCATCGTGTCATGGTATTTTTGACTGGTATAAGTGGGATATGTACGTAAGGGAAATACTCTTGTTTGACTGCTGTTGCTGGGGGCAAGGTTGCATTGCACGGTGGGCGGTGGGCGTGGGCGTGGGCGGTGGAGCTGTCGTCAATCCAAAATCAGGACGACGAAGCCCACGAGTCCAGAATGCTGAATGGTCGGGCCACTGCCGCCCTACCTACCGCCCTCCCGCCCTATCGAATTTAGATGGCAGCACACCTGGACGGCTAGTTGCTAGGCAGGCCTGCCTCATGGCAGCGTGGGTTGGCAGGGCCCAGCCACCCCCTGTCCCCTGCCTCTAGTCAGTGCGTTGGAAGGGCCGAAGGGCCTACACTTCACACTTGTGTAGTGTGTTGTAGTCTGGACCAACCTTGCTTGTTTGCGTATTGGGGGAGGGGGAGGGGGAGCTCTGACCGCAAGATTGCGGAAACGGAAAGAGCAGCACAGGTAGACAGACTACAGGATTTACCCTTGCATTTTATTAGCGCGAGTATAAAGTAAAACCCACAATATTACCCTACCCAGCTAATTAAAACTTTCTAAATATCCTCTTATAATTAAATATATAGTATTAAGGGCCCTAAAGGCTTAATATTATATATACTTAATAATTTATTAGGTGATTTACTTAAATAGGTAGTGAGTATCTTAATAACTCTTAAATTGCTTAATATCCTTTAGGAACCTCTATTTAAAGGGTTAAAGTTTATAAGCTAACTTAACCTATTAGTCTAGCTAATTATTAGTTTTAAACTCTTAATTTATTAATTATTAATACTTAATTAATTATTAACTTCACTATTACTTTAAATTTTTATAATTTAATATAATAAATATATTAATTAATTTTAATTTACCCTATTTATATCCTTTTTTTATTAATTATAGTTATTAATATAAATTATTAGTAAATATAATATTTTTTATTTATTTCCTTATATTTTATTATTTTTATTACTTTATAAGTTTATAGCTTTTTAAAATTTACTTTTATAAGGTTAAAGTTTATAGCTCTAAGTTGCTTAGCCTAATCTATTAGCTTATCTATCTATTATATTAAATCTATTAATCTATTAACTATAACTCCTAACCTCTTTTTTAATATTATTATAATAATAATTTTATATTATTTAATTTAATAATTATATTATTTATTTTTAAATTACTTTATTTATACTTTTTTTTAGTTTAAAAAGACTATTAGTTAAAAAAATAGATTATATTAAGTATTTCCTTTCTTTTATTAGTTTTAAACGTTAACTAACTACTTTATAAATTACTTTAATAATTTATTATTACCTACCTATTATTAACTCTAACTATAAGGTTTTCTTAACTTATTAAATTATATAATAATTACTTTTATTTATTAAAGGTTACTATTTATAGGTAAATAATATATTTATATTAATATAAATTATAATAGTAAATATTATAAAAACCTTATAAAAGAAGGTTAAAAAAAAATAAAAGGAAGAGTAAAAAGTACCCTTTTTAGTGCTTTATAACCACTTAAAATTAGTAACACTCTAACCTTACTACTATTAAGCCTAATTTTTTAATTAAATATTTTAATATAAAAATATTATATTAGTAAATTTAATTCTATTACTCTTATATTAATTAAAGTTTCCTTAAAGTTTATTAAAATATTACTTTTTTTTTTATTAAAAATTAATTATATCTAGCTTAAAAATTTAAAATTTTAAATTAGTAATTTACTTATTAATATACCTTTTATTTATAAGTAGGCTATAGTTTAATAATAATAATAAGTACCTTTTTTTATTTTATTTAAATATTTTTAATATATTAAACCTTTTAAACCCTTTAAACCCTAATTTATTATTTTTTAATACTTTTATTTTAATTTAATAAACTATTATAATATATACTCTACTTTAATTTAGCCCTATAAGTCCCTTTTTTATAAATATTATTTACTATAATATAGCTACCTTCCCTCCCCTACCTATTTTAAACCCTAACCCTTTTTATACTTATAATAATAAGGCTCTAAATAATATTAAATCCAATATTTACTTTAAAAATAGTAATAATAATAATATTAAAAAATAGTTAAATAAGGGTAATATAATAGGGTTTATCTTCCTATTAATATTTACTTTATAATACTCTTTAATCTATACTTATTAATTAACTATATTAATATAAAAAACCTATATTAATATTTTAGTTCTATTAAATCCCTTTAAGCCTAATTGCCTTTAATCCTTCTTCCTCTTTTTATATTTAAATTTAACTTATCCTATAAATACTTTAATGCTATAAGGCTCTTAGCAATTTAGTTAATACTCCCCACCCTTAACATTTCTATAAAGCCTAATACTCTAACCCTCTTAACCTTTATAAGCCAATTATTCTTAATAATAAAAATAGTTAATACCTTTTTTATTATATATATTCTTCTATTAAATTAGGGTTTTTAATTAATAACTTTATTATAATTAACTTCTAGTATAATAAATATAATATACCCTTTACCTTACCTTATCGCCTATATTAATATACTCAATCCAAGCCTATAATTATAGCTAATTAAAAAAAGCCTTATATAAAAAACTTTATACTAGCTAAAAAAGTAATATATTAAAATTTATATTTTATTACCTATATATTAATCCTAAAAATTGCTATTACAACTAGCCTTACTATTTAATAGGTTTAGTATATACTAACTATATAACTTCTACCTCTACCTTAAAGTTATTACTATATAGTCCCTTTAAAGGTAATATCTCTCCTCTTTTCTATTATTAATATACTATAAAAATAAAATATATTATTATATATATATAATTATAACAAATATATCTAGACTTACTATTATATATTTTATAAATATTATATTTTACTATACTTATTAATAGATATTAATATATAATATAGCTATTTTATATTCCTTTTTAATTAAATATATTAAGCTTAATTTAAATTTACTCTTTATTATTCCTACTATTTATTTATTAATTAGTTATATTAAATTTAAATTAATAAGGTATAATTTAATAAGTTTAATATAAAATATTAATTTATTACTTTTACCCTAAATAAGAATATTAAAAGTTTATTAATACTTAATTTAGACTAAATAATTAAATATTTTAAGTCTATTTTATAAATAATAAGTAAGGCTTTAGCCTAATCTAAGAAAAGAGTTAGGGGAAAATTAACTTAGAAATATATTAAACTTATATATTACTTTATTTAAAGGAATTCTATAAGTTTTATAACTCCTTTATGATTTAATAAGATAATATTTTAATATATATTTTAAAATTAATAAAGATTTAATTTATAGAATATATAAAAGATACTTATTTAATTACTTAGCTATTTTATTTATTTAATCTTAACCTTATTAAGTATATTTAGGTGTAGATAAAGGTGTGGATTAAGTAAAATTATAAGGAATAACCTAAAAATAAAAATTTATATATAGTTGTTTTATAAATATAAGAAGCTGTTTTTTTAATATATTTTAGAAACTTATTATAAGTATATTAAAAAGAATAATAGTAGTAATTATAATTAAGGGAGGTTATACTAAAATATAATGCTATAATTAACTATTTTTAAATATACTATATTTTTATCTATTTATAAATCTATTTATTATATATGTATATTAACTGTTAAGACTTATAAACTTACGTAATTTGTTAGATTTTAGTCTAGGGGCCCCTCTTGAAGCCCTTAGAAGTTACTATTTAACCTTATTGCAGGCAAAACCCTATACAGCAGACAGCACACATCCACCAATCCAGTCTGCAGCAATGCACACACGCCCCTTTCGGCCCATCAACCGCAGCCACCATTAAATCACCCCACAAGTCTGGCCTGGTCTGGCCTGCCCTGTCCTGCCCTGCCTGGTCTTTTCTACCACAGTACGTATGTACTCCGTAGCATCTAGTCTTTTGTCCCCCCCTGGTCAGCCGTCTTCCTGCCATCACATCACATCACCTCGCATTGCGCATCGCATCTCCCGTCAACACTCTTCGCATCGCAGCTCGACCGACCCTTTCTGCCCATTGACTTTTTTCCTCGTCTTCGCATTTAGATCAAGACCCATTGACTTTTTTTTTCCTGTTTTTGTTGCCGCGTCGACACGCTACGACCTGACACGACTGACTGTTGCTGTGCATTTTGGGATCTGTAAGTGATGGATGGTGATTTCCTTATCTCTGGCACTCTTGTCGTCATTTTGTCTTGTCCTGGGCCGATCAATATACGACGTTGAGGAGGGCGTTGCAAGAACACCACGAACCGCAAACCACAAACCACAAACCACGCAACACATGCACGCCAACCAAGACGGCCGGCCAGTGCTCGTTATTGCCGTAACTTGGGTCAACAAAGCAGCCCTGCAGCTCTGCAGCTCTGCACACTGCGATTGCGACTTGTTGCCCGAGACAAGAACCAAGAAGCCATCGAAGCAAGCCCCTTGTCCATAGAGGAGACCGGCCCTCGAAGTGACGTCGTCGGTGCTGCAACTGCAACTGCAAACCAGCACGGCACAAGACAATATCCAAGCAAGCTTTCTCTCTCCTGCAGCTGACAGGCCTCGATCGCTTCGCTTGATGCTATCCCCACCTGGACCCATCACCCTCGCTCGCCGCGTCCCTTTCTGCTTTGGGGTTTCTTGGGCTTCTTACATGTGGAGATAAGGCCACACAGCTGTCCCGTCGGGCCTGCACCTGCGAAACTGTTTGGGCCCCCCGGCTCGCTGCCCAAGCCGCCCTCGACCTCATTCATCTTGTCGTCTTATGTTGTCCCGCCCGGGAACACCATCTGTTGTCTCTCTTGTTGCTCTCCTCCTGGTAGTAATAAGCCTCATCCTCCTGCACAGTTTTATTCTGTAGATTAGTTGCATCGTCGTTATCTCTGCATTTGTTTTTTTGTTTTTTGTGTTGTTCCTGCGCATTTCCTTCTTGCTTCTCCACCGGGCCCCCCTTCGCTTTCCCGAAACTTTATCGCGCTACGAGGCCACCCAGCCTTGAGACAGCAACCTGCATGCAGCCCGCTAATCCTCGTCTCCGCCCCGACAACAGCTCACCACCTTTTTCTCCCTCCACATCCTCCCTCGACGTTCGCACCATCAGCGGCGGCGACCACCACCCACACCACCACCACGAACACGCCTGCCATCCCCGTCGGCTCAATAACAATACTCTCTTCGCCAAAGGCAGCAACCACACACCGCCCGACGACCACCCACACTCGCATGCTATGGCAGCTGTCATCGGAGACTTTGCAAACCATTCCGGATTCCACACTATGATCGCAACCCAGGGTCTCCCATACTCCCAAGAATCATCCCACGCCTCCTCCCACTACCGATCTAGCAGCCATTCGAGAAGCTCTACCCCCCGAAACCACCCTCCAGCCAGCCGGCAGCAGTCCTCGCGGGCCTCCCCACGATTCTCCGCCACGTCCACCACCGACAGCGCCGCATCGAGACTACCCTCGCCCCCAGACTCCTCGTCTGGTAGCACCAGTGCTGGTGCCGCAAGCGCCTCACAATCAGACGAAGACCTGAAGGCGAGGTACACAAGCAGCGTTGCACAGGATGGTCAGAAGCAGGTCTACATGGAATCCTCAGCCGCGCACCAACCTGCGCAGGGATTCTCCGCTGCCGGTGCTGCTGCCGCCGATTGTACCCCCAACTCCTCGTCTCAGACCGTCGCCGGATCCGCCCAGCCAAGTCAGGTCCTTCCCTCTCCCGCCTCCAATTCTGGCGATAGATGGGGCGCATCGCAGTCCACACTGAACTCCTCGCCCACCTCCCCTACACAACAACAGACCACCATCAAGGTTCGGGACCTTGCTCATGTCCAGGCTCTCGCACGTTCGGGCATGGGTTTCGACGACGATGTGCCCCTGCAATCCCTCAAATACGACCTGAGCGAGTGCCCCATCGGTGATGTCATCGAGATGGTCGCAGCGCTCCTGACCAAGATCACCACCACCAACGACCAGCAGCACGATGCTCTCAGCAGGAATGCCGTAGAGCGCAACGCCAGCCACGTCAAGCAGGCCCAGGCCCAGAACGACGGCTTGGCTTCGGAGAACAGCATGAGCCCCCTGAGTAGCAGCGTACTGGCCTTCCACGGCAAGAACGTACCTGCCATCACCATATTGAGCTATCTGAGCCGCATACACAAGTATTGCCCGACCACTTTCGAGGTGTTTCTGAGCTTGCTCGTCTATTTTGACCGCATGACGGAGAGGGTCAACGATATCGTTATGAAGGCAGAAGAGGCCAAGAAGTCAGGCCACGCACAGGATCAGGCCCAGGCTGATGTCGTCATGAAGGAGGCCCCCTGCGAGAGCAGCGACAGCGACGAGGACCTGGACGAGGATATAGTGGATGACTCGGACAGCGAAGGGGAGCGACCGGCGGAGCCGAAGAGGGCGCAAGCGAGTGGCACAGGGAAGGCTAGCGGTACACCCTCTGCCGCCAGCCAGCCTACATTTTTCGTCGTGGACAGCTTCAACATTCATAGGCTGATCATTTCTGGTGTGACGTGTGCGAGCAAATTCTTCTCGGATGTCTTCTACACAAATTCGAGATATGCAAAGGTAAGAACACCCCAACGCACAACCATGCACACAACCTACTTTTCTTATCCATCCCGTACCGTGGCTGTAGACTAACAAAGACACTCATAGGTTGGGGGTCTTCCGCTCGCCGAGCTCAACCACCTGGAGATACAATTCCTCCTTCTGAACGACTTCCGTCTCGCAATCCAGGTCGAAGACCTGGAAGCCTATGCGACGATGCTGGTCGAGTTCTATGCGCGAGAGGTTGTCTCTCGGCCTGGCGCAGGCCCGGCCTAGACCGCCGAAGCGCAGTGTAATCTGAAGGTTGCAAGTTTTTTGGAAGATAACTTTGTACGCAATGCGGCCTATGACCGATGGGCACCACCGGCACTTTTTGGGCAGAGGCCTTTTTTGATACCCGGATAGATGTTGGAACGACTAGATGAGAGGAACTCGCACGCAATAGCGGTATCATGCGTAATATGTCATCTGGGAGAGATGCGAGCGTAGCATGAGAGACCCCAGTGGGAAGAGGAGGCTAGAGCGGGTGAGAGAAAATGTGGGCAAAAGCACACGAGAGAGCTAGTCGGTTTGATAGGTTGGTGTATATCATGACACGACGAATTCCTACTATCACCCGAGACGGGAAGGCGAAAGTCTGCTGCTGGCTTGAAATTACGGTATGCGGGTATGAGGGAAGTCCAGAGGGGGGCGATGACTATCCCCACTGACGGCCTGTTGTGTAATATTTTCATGTGCATGGGTATCAGCGAGCAAACGAGGGTGTACGGCGTGGTTGGAGGGGAAGGGCACGGCGTAAATGGTACATGTAATGAATGAGCAGAATGGGACGGACGGGTTCAACTACTAGCGGAGGATGGGGGTAAGGCTATGGGGTTTCGAGCCCTGGTGATGGGCTCTGTATTCTTAGGTTCTCAGCATTAAATGGAGCGGTTTCTTGCAGTTTCGTCTCTTGTCTATCGATTCATCGGACACGTAGATGGTGTGTTTTGACGTGGCTGATGCGGTCTTTTGGATGGACTGGCTCCTCCCTTCTCCGGCGCCGGCGGCCACACTGCCTGATCAAATAAATTATCTGGGTAATTTGATGGCTGAGGAACCTGGCTGGATAATGGCTTTCGCTGATGACGGCGTGTAGTTACTCACATGTTTTGCCCCGGCCCAGGCAGTGAGTGTGCTCCTGAGGCTGATGGAGGTGGGCGACAATGGTGCGTTCATAAAATCGTGGGCTTTGGGGAAGAGAATATATGTGTGCCCCCCCCCCCCCTTCTCAGAATGGTAACATATGGTGTGAGCAGGAGGCAGAGAGATACAATTCTAATTCTTTCACGTGGTGTGTGGGTCGTGCGAATGTATTCCGCGGACTCATCAATGACGGTGATGACTAACGATGGTTCCCATGTGTTGCGTGTGCCCTCGGACCCCGAGGCACAACAGTACGGAGGGCTTTTGTTCACGCAGTACCTCGTTTCCGGTCATGGATTCTTTCTTTTCCGAGTTTTTCAGGGCCGAATTCTGTCCTGGCTGCCTGTCTGCTTAATTTCTCGACACTCAACGACCGGATCTGGCCTTTAGGAGCTCGCCGCGGCAATGACAAAATGCGCACTCTAACCAGTCAGTAATATCAAAATATCATCAAGTCATCGTGAAGTTACATGTACGTTTTCACCTCCCAATTGAGGATCAGCAGATTTGTTTCAAGTACAGGGCTGTATAATGTATTGGTATCATCTAATAATAAAACGCTGTATCTGAGTACTCGCATATGTAATTATATTCCGTCATAATAAACATGACCTTCGTAACGACTGACCCCATGATGAGCATTAAAAAGGACAGGTCGATAGGCTGTGGTCAAACTGCTCGTATACTTGCGGGGGGCTGGTCTCATTGCCCGTGACGCTGCCTCCGAATGTGAAGTATCCCTGGCTCAGCTCGGTGGGAGTCCTCTGGATCTCGCTCGCGTTGCCGACGACCCAAACACTTTGCATTCCTACTCGGAGGTTAGCTGACTGATACTTTGTAGGGGGGGATTGCAGTTGCTGTTTGGCACTCACCCATTACCATGTGCTGCAGGACATGGCAGTGGATCATCCACACACCAGGGTCGTTGATCCTGATCCTCCACGCCCTCCAGCCAGCATCAGCACCGGCCGTCGTCTTGGTCTCGTACCGGTACAACATCGTGGTATCCCTCTTGACCGGCGTGTATCCAGCCTCTACCCTCGCGGCCTCGGTAGCGTTGGCATCGTACGTGCCATTACCACTGCCCAGGTCGTAGTAGTGGGCGCCGTGAGCGTGGAACGGGTGAACATCAACGCCGCCGTTGTTGTTCACCAGCGACCCCGTGTTCTGGAACACAATCTCGAGGACCTCGCCGACCTTTGCGGCATACGCCTTGGTCTTGGGGTCCCAACCCCCGTTGGCGACGGCCGTCTCGTAGTCGGGGACGGCGTCCTCGCCCCGCAGGTAGATGTCGACCAGCAGGGGCACCGGGTACGCCACGATCTCGTTCCAGTTGAGCCCGTTGAGCTGCCAGATGATCTGGCCCGTGGCGTTGGACGTGAGCTGCACCACGTCGACCACCACGCGCCTCGTCACCTCCTCGAGCGTCGGGAAGTCCAGGTCCGGCACGAGCGGCTGCAGCGTGTTCTCGAGCCAGTCGTATGTCTTGGTGGTGAGGTTGAACGGGGCCGTCGCCGGCGCGGTGGGGACGGGCGCCTCCTCGTCGTCGTCGGCGCAGCTCGAGGTGTACCGCAGCACGCCGAAGCCCTGGTACACCGCGGGCCGGTCCCGGGTCTCGAACTGGATGAAGTAGTCCGTCTTGCCCCCCGCGGCATCGAGGTCCGCCTGGCTCTTGGTCTTGAGGAGCACGTCGAACCGCTGCCCGCTGCCCAGCTGCATGCGGTACGTCGCCGCCGGCTGCGTGTACTGCCCGCCGTCGACGGCGATGACGGTCAGGATCTCGTGGCCCTCGAAGGCCATGATGGAGTGGCTGAGCGAGGTCGCCCCGATGAACCGGAACCGGTACGTCTTGTCCGGCTCGACCTCGATCACGGGGAGCTGGCACGACGCGTCGCCCGGGATCTCGCCCGCCGTGTGGTTGATGGCCACGCCCTGCCCGTTGAGCATCATGGCCTGCACCTCGCCGCCAAAGACGAGCGGGCTCGCCAGCAGCCCGGCCTCGAAGGCCGAGTCGTTCTGCTTGTAGTGCTCGTGCCACAGCAGCGTGCGCTCGTCGTCGTACTGGTAGGGGGGCGGCCCGCAGTCCTCGACGATCAGCGCGCCGAAGACGGTCAGGGCCTGCATCCCGACGTGTGAGTGGTAGAAGTAGGTCCCTGCGTCCTCTGGCAGGGCCTCGATCTCGTAGTCGAAGTAGTTCATGGGCGGGATGGGCCATTGGGATGCCAGCACTGCGCCATCCGAGAATTGGGCCATCCGCTGGGCGAGGCCGTGCCAATGCTGTGAGTGCTTGTTAATGTTTGTTCTTGCTATATGTATAGGGCGGTTTTGTTTTGTTCATACCATTGTGAGATTATGGTCCTCCATGTCATTATACACCCGGATCCATGATGAGCCCCCGGGCCTGATACGGATAGCGGGCCCAGGTGAGGTGCCGTTCACCACGGCGGAGTGCCGCTGGTCGCATGCCTGAGAGATATCCTTGGCTGATATACGGAGCACATGGTCGGGAACAAACGTACTGTCATGGGTGGTCAAGCCCAAGCCCAGGACAGGAGACAGCAGCCACTGCGCGCAAAGGAGGGATAACGACAGGACTCTCATCTTCGCACCGCAAATGCTAGCAGAGAAATTTGAAACGAATGACTGAAGTGGCCAGAGCCAAAATGGGGGATATCATGGAATATCTATACATTTTGACGGGATGATTTGTATTATTTAAAGCTCAGAGTCTACTCGCCGCATACATGCAACTACTCTAACTCATTATCACGCGTGCAACCTTGGACCCCTTGGGAAAGCTTAAGGAGATGGGCAGGGGAGGGATCTTCAGCTCCAAAGCTCATGCGGCCAGGCTGCCCAGGTTTGCAGTGGAGTATACTATAAGAGAACGGAAATTCGCGCACCCAAAATTAAAAGGCGCGCACCCAAATATAACTAAGCAGTGCCCACATATATACACAAATTTATTTTAACTAGGGCCTACTATAATAATTAATAAAATTATTATATATAACTAATACTTAATATTATTTTCTTGCCAACTAATAAAAAAAAGGTTAAAAATTATATAAATTATATATATTAAGGCCTAAATAAATAGTATTTTAAGCGCAATTTATATTTAATTATATATATATTTAAATTTTAAATTATATATTTTTATTATTATTAGTAAGATTATTTATAATTAGGTTTATTTATAGCAATTAGTTAATAGTCCTTTATATTTCTATATGCTATTTTTTAGCTACTAGTAAGGCGCTTAAAAATATACTTAAAAAAGCAAATTATTATTTTAACTAATAGTTTGCTTATTTTATAAGCCTTGCTATTAGCTATTAGTTTTGCCAAATAGTTTTTTATTAGGCACTACTATTATAAGTATTCTTTTTATTTAAAAACTATAAGGTTAAATTATTCTATTTTTAAGCTAAATTTATTTATTAAAAAAAAATTATTATTACCCTTATTTTATTTTCTACCTTACTTTTTAAATTAGTAGTTATTAATTTAATTTGCTTATTTATTATAATTATTATTTAATTTATATTTTACTTAAAAATATTTATTTTATTAGTTATAAATATAGCTATTTTATAAAGGCGTTTTTTAATTAATTTAACCTATTTTAGTAAGTAAATTATAAATAAAGGGTTATTAACTAATAAGTTATAATTAAGCTAAAAAAATTTATATATATTAGCCTTTTTAAAGGACTATTTAGCCTTTTTTTTATTAGTAATTTAATTAGCGCAAATTAAGCTATATTATATAAATATAAAGTAAATATAGGTTAATTATAAGTAATTACTTTATATAATCTTGCCTTTAAGTATTTATATAGCCTTTTTTTTAATATTTAAAAAAAGATTTAAAGCTGCCTATAAAACCTATATTAAAAGGCTTCCTAGCCATTTCTACTTATTAAACTTTTAAAAAAAGAATATTTTTTAATATACTTTTTTTAATTTAAAGTTATAAATAATATTTTTTAAAGTTTTATAAATAGCCCTAGTAAAATAAAGAATATTTTTTATTTTATAACCTAAATAAACCTTAAACTTTTAATATATATTTTTTATTAAAGATATTATATATAAACTAAAATTAAAAACTTTATAAATTTTATAGGCCACCTATTTAATTATAATTTTCTTTTATTTATATAATAAATTTTAAATATTAAATTATTACCTATTAATTTAAAAACTTTTTATAAATAATGCTAAGCTAAATTAAAAATTTAATAATTAGTTAAATATTTTATAAATTTAAATAAGTTAAATAAAACCTAGTAAATATAAAAACTTTATTTAAAACTTTTAATAAAATAGTTATTTTGCTTTTATTAAGGCATTAAATAAGGCTATATTTAAATTTTTAATTTTAAATCCTTTTATTATTAGCTTCTTTCTTTTATATTTTATAAGCTAATACCCTTTATTATTTTTAATATTAAAAATAATATTTATATTAATATAAAAATATAAAATTAATAGCAAATATAAAAAATATATATTTAATAGTATTAATTAAAGTAGTATTATAATTAATAATAATAATCTTTAAATTTATAACTTTATATTTTACTAGCAATAATTTAACTTACTTTAAAAGCTATTAAAAGTTTAGTTTTTTATTATTAATAATACCTTAAAATAAAAATAAATTCTTTTTATATATATTATAATTATACCTTAAAAATATAGCATTTTTATTATTAATTATATAAATATAATTAAAAAAATATTAAATAAAATATTACTTTTAAATTTATATAATTTATTACCTTTTATATTAAAAATACTAATAATGCTTTTTTATTTTAAATATAATAATACTAATAGTTTTACTTTTAAGCTAATTTAATATTATTTATATTAGTATATAAATGCCCTACCTTTTTTTTTTTTATTTTATTAGCTAAAACTTTATTATATTAGGTTTTAATATAACTATAAAATACTTTTATTAAAATATAAGTTTAAATTTTTTTAATTTTGCTATAAAAGGGTTATAGGCAATTTAAAAAAAAAATTTATATTAATTTGTAATTAACTTAACCTAGCCTTATTTTATTTTAGTTACTATTTAAGGCCTATAATAAATATACTTTTCTTTTTAAACTATAAGCTTTTATTTATTTATTATAACTTTAATTATATAAGTAACTTTTTGCTAAAAGTAGTTAGTTTTAATTATAATAATATTATAAGTAGTTAAAGCTAAAAGTTGCTATATATTGCGGCTATAAATTAAAATTTTTTAATTTATTTTAAAATTATAAAAAACTATTAGCCAACTAGCTAACTTTATAGCTTTATTTAATTTAACCTTAAATTTTTTATAAATATTATATTTATTATTAAAAAGCTTTAAAAATATAAAAAAATTAAAAAGTGCTAAAAGGTAATAATTAGTAGTAATAATATTATAATTTTAGTTATAATAATTAACCTGCTAATATAGCTTAAACTTAAAGTAGTTTAATATTTATATTATTAATTATAATGCTTAAAAAATAATATTTAAATAAATATAATAAAAATTTAATTCTTAATTAATAATTCTTATTACTTAAATAGTTAATTTAACTTATAGTTAAATAGTAGTTAATAAATATAATTAGATAGAAAGAAAAGATTTTACTGGGCATGTTAGGTAAAATATAAAAAGCACTACTTGAATGGTTTAACAAATAAAATAAAGTTTTTTAATTAGCTGCAGCCCTATTTAGTTATATTTGGGTGCGCGCCTTTTAATTTTGGGTGCGCGAATTTCCGTTCTCTATTATGGGATGCAACTGAGTGCATGGGGACCCCGGCTTGGGGCGTATTCTTAGACAAACATCACCAGCTAGAGGCTAGAGCGGAAGACTATCCAGTCCTCTCCAAACCATATGGGGAAACACGCCTGCAGATCGGGTTGTTCCTTCGTTAAGCCTTTGTTGTTGTTTTAGCACTGCCGCGGGATCTCGGGCGCACTATTCGTTCAAGACCGCAAATGGAACTCTAGAAACAAGTGGGTGTGCTTAACTGGGCAACGTTAAGTAAGCTCAAGCTTCTAAGCTGACCACCATAACCTTGTGCCTGATCCCCTGCCTACTATGAATCATCAGACGACAAGCTCCAGAGTCCCTTATTCCGTAGGACAGAGGGCAATGCTCAGGTAGATCCGCCTGCCGCCTCAATCGGGCTCTGAAGAATGCCCGACCAATAAAGTTGGCAAGGCACAACAGCCAGCCAGCCAGCCCGGGTCCGCCGGACATGAACGGCCACAGACTGCCAAGGAGACCATCCAGAACCGCTCCTCCTGCCTGTCCAGGTTACCTTTTGCCCTGGCACGGGTCTGCGGGCAAGTGCGTCGAGTCGGTTGACATGTCTGAGTCGTTGCTCGTATCCACCGGGATTATCCGAGAACCCGCAGCCCCCACCTCCCACGCGCGCAGCCGTCAGGGTGTGGTGTGAAACACACGGCGATGTGTATAGTGAGCACGTCGCCGCGACCGTCTCGTTTATGCATATCGCCGCCCGGTGCGTATGGAGGTCATTGGCCCGGTCTCTATTGTTCTGCCGTGGTTCGCAGTGATTCTTAGCCAAGGCTGGGAATACTTTGGTGGTGGCCTTGTCTTAATATATCCTGGTAGCAGGCTAGTCGAACGTCATTCATGACACTATATGGGCGATATGACGACAGTCTTTCCAGAATGCCCACGAAGAGGCAGCCAGCACTTTCTAAATTGTGAATAACCGCATGGGAGATGTGAGACGGGCCGGATGGGGAATGTATGTGGCACCACTGCCCACTTGCCACGAAGATCTGCATGCAGTGCGAACCTGCTGCCGCCCACACTCTCCACTATCAACGGAAGGCACTGGAGTTGGCCCTGAGGGCCCGGGTGATCACGCGGTCTTTGCTCATTTCGTTGCTGTGCAGGTGTCTTGGCCATGCTTCTGAGCCTCATTTAGCCCGGTCTAAGGTTTCACTTTCCCACCGTAGATGCCGAAATCCGAGAGTCGGCGGCGGCGTTTAAGATTGTACGGAGTATGATGACGATGTCTTACTCGGACCACGCCTCCGGGTGACACGGCATGGCACACGCTTCAGTTTCGGTCGTTTTGACGCGTCAGTAACATTGCTGGACGCGGATGCCCGCAGTCAGTTGTGACGCGCGCGGAAAAAAACCTTTTGATATCCATCGGAGTGCGCGATCACTATAATTAGAGTGTGTGATTTCTGTGTTGACGATACTTTCCGCAAATAAAGATTTGGGCTATCCGCCAAGCAATCAGGACCTAGCCTCATAGAACGTGAAAGTGTCAAAAGCACTACACATCCAGATTTCGCGCCAAAATGGTATCGGGCTATCGCGCGTGAAGACGATTTACGGTGGGAGAAGTCGAGAAGGGAGTTCGTTAGTCCGGAACCGAGTCGTGAAGCGTGGAACATTCCCTTGGCTACAGCCCTGTCAGAATCGCGAGTCAAGGTTTGATATTATATCTTGTTCGATCGACATGACATGTGAAGATTCCCGAGATTTGATACTGGAGAGATTTACGCCTTATCAGTAATGTGCAATTTCTCGCTGCCCAGATATTGATCATGAGCCGCCTCCGCCCCCCCAAAAAGGGAAAACAACAAAACCACAGTTGACTGTGACTTGACAGCGAGGACCCGGAGAGTTGAGCACTAGTGATACAGGTACCCTAAGCCGTTGCAGCCCAGGTTGGTGTAAACTGATGGCAATTATCGCCATCAGTTGGGTTAAAAAGCCGGACTGTGATAAATTTGTCTGTGCCTTGGACAGTTAAATCCGCACGTTGGCTCTGATTCCCAAGTAAACGTGATCAACCACGAGGCACGGTGGATGTGTGCGGCTCTTCCCGAGGTCGGCTCTTGCCGGACGATGGCTTGAAATGTGTGTTTCAAGTCTATTATTTGATCAGTGCCATTAATCGTTCGTATCGTTCCCACTTGGAACCCCTCTCAATCCACACACCCCGATGTGGCTGAGGTTGCATTTGGCTATATTCTCCTTTCAACTTACTCGCTGGCCACCCTAAGAACAACATTGCTTGGCGACATGTCTGTAAAGTACTTCAATCTACAACCGGCAAAGAATTGGAGGCGGCGAGCGTCACCAGTATGAACGATCCCCGCCTGGTGCAGTAGATCTAGGCCGAGCACAATCATGAGTGGGATGCCCTGCCGGGATGCTCGTCATCGATGGATTGACAAGCTCAGAAGTGTGGTGGTTTCGTTTTTAATCCCCATACATGTAAAATGTACGTGGCGCCTTCATACAGTGGTAAACGCTCAAGACCCAGCGTTTGAAGAAATACAATGCCAATAACAGTGGAAAGAGAATACAGTACGTGGGCACGTGGCTGAGCCTCGTAGACAAGCTCAGAAACACGGACTTCGTTGGAGGTATCTTTTCCCGTGGTGCAGATCTCCAGTGCATGGAACACTCCGTACTTTTCAACAGAAGTGTTATATTCAGCAAATGACATGGACATGGCGGGACATATGAACACGTAGTCCCACGATCCCATGCGTCTAGTACAGGTGCTTCATATCGTCGAAATGGCATGCCGAAGGCTCTCATCTAGGTCGAAGTCGAATAGACATCCAAAGTTTTCATAGAACTCGCCTTTCAAACATTCGAGGTAGTCTCCCTCTGCTGCCGCAACAGCCTCGTATCTGCGAACGTTTTCGCCGCTTCGCCGGATCACATCTTGCGTCCTTGGCCGCCTCGCTTCGTCGAAAGCCCGGAAAGCTCTCTCGATATCCGAATATTTCTCGATTGCCCCCAACAGGCCACTCAACACATACGCATCCTCGATAGCCATTCCGGCGCCGGCACCCATATGAGGTGTAGTCGCATGCGCAGCGTCGCCCATTATACAAAGTTTCCCACTGGAGTATTTCTTGTCTTGTGGATAGTGAAACACCGCCCACCTCTCCCCGCTCCCATGCTCCAATAGCAGCTTTACCAGCCCGGGATGCAGTTCTCTGTTAGCATGAACGAGTTCGCCTTCCTTTAACGGAACTCGCCATTCTCTCTCTTTCCATTCATCAGGTTGGAAGCGTGAGGCGAAGATGTTCAGTGCCGAACCGTGCTCAACCGGATATGCAACGGCGTGTCCGCTCGGGCAGAGAAAGAGATTGCCTGTCCCCGCCAGCTCCTTGCCCATGACCTTCTCGAAGGCCTCACGAGGTACCATTGCGCGGTACCCGGCATAGCCCGAGTATTTTGGTTCAGCGTCCGGACCATGCAGGAGCTTCCTCGTCTGACTTTTGATCCCGTCGCAGCCGACCAGCGCCGATGCACTTGCGGTAGACCCATCCGCAAACGTCAGAACAACCCCGTCTTCCCCGTCGCTTCCATTCTCCGCAAGACCGACGAATGTCTTGTTGAAAGATGCCGACCCCTCCGGAAGTAGCCTCACGAGTTCATCCAGCAGCTTTGCCCTGTGGACACAACACCTCACAGGAAACGACATGCCGTCAATCTCCTGAACCTTGTTCACCATATTGAACATCTTTGCCGGCATCCACGTCTCATCCTCGCCCTCCGGCAACCAACCCCTCCGGTACGTCAGGAAGGTATCGGCCAGCTCCGGCGGCTCGTTGGCGGTGACGTGTTTCGAGTACGCGCGAAGCATGGCCGGCGAGAGGCGGTGCATGGCACGGATGACATTGGGGCCAAAGGTAACTCCCGCGCCGATCTCGCCGAATGACGGCGCCGATTCGTAGATGTGGAATGGGACGTTGCGGGCGGCTAGCCCGATAGCCAGGGCAACGCCGCCTATCCCGCCGCCGACGATGGCGATCGTGAAGGGCTTCTGAGCTGAGTAGGCGGCCATTATAGAGGACAGCAATACGGTCAAAGAAGTGCACATAAGCGGCAACAGATGAAAATTGAGAGGCTGCTCTTAAATTATAAAGAGCCACTAGCGAGCGTATCCGCGTATCAGCCTGCTGATCTTCCGTAGTACCCTAATGAGTGCGTGCATTATCACGCTTCAAACCCCGCATGTTCAACTACAGTAGCCGCCGAAATAGCCCCCGGCACGACTACCGGGTCATGATATTCGGTTATCTAGTTGCTGGTTGCTGACAAGGTGGTGACACCCTTTCTGCAGCGTGTCAGATGGCTCTGGACCACGGGTGTAAGTAGGTAGTACCTGTGCCGGGATCCGGGGTCTTGCATGGGATCAACCCCCTCGTAACATAACAGCACCGAGAAATGAAAATATTTAATGCTCCTTGCGTACTAGGTCGGACCTCGATTCTGTCAGCCCCAACATTGATGATCTCTGAGTAAGTGCCCCATATCTTCCATGGTTACCGCGAAAAAGTTGGCCAAGCCAAGATGTGCGCAGGTTTCCAAGAACGTGGCTTCCAAGGTTGTTCCTAATCGCATGTAGCTAGGTAACCGTGAAAGGCAATATCAATGGCTGAGTGGAAGGTGTCCTTTAATCTCAAATTAATATTGATCTGGATACCAGACCGTGCCAAAATAAGGATAAGCATCACTTATGCTCGGAAACACCAGGCTCTGCAATTACACCAACCTTAGAAATACATGTATAGTATGTTGAAGCTTTACGTGAAATGTTGATGGATTTGCATTTAAGTCAACGTATACAACGCATATTTTACAATATAACTTTACTGAGAAGTGGCCGTGCGCAATTGCACTTTAAATCTTGTATACTGGTCCACATCATAACCTCCTATAGAACAACCTCCTATACGACCGTGGCTTGAAATCGGAACGAGTCCGGGCCCGCATTGGACCAGCTATCTAGTGCCACGTCAACTTCATATTCAAAGAGACTGGAACGGCCTTGTTCACGCGGGAAAACGACAGATATTGTGAGAAGAGGGGATGTAATTATAATATGGACAGTCGGACTTACACTCCAGGATCTGCTTTCCGTCCTCGGTGAGCACATAGAAGCCGAAGTTGTGGCTCAGAGTGATAGCCGATGCCCCTTGGCTCGGTACCCCGGTAATGACATCGCCGCCATCAGTGAACCGCGCTGGCAGGTCGACGGTGCTATCCTCGAAGTGGCCGGTCGAGCCCTTCACGAAGCTCACCACGGCGCTGCCGGAGTTCTTCAGTGTCACCACCTGCACGACGCTGTTGGGACCCGAGGGCGATGCTGCAAGCCCACGTGCTGCATCCGTTTCGAGACCTGATGCCACTCCCACGAAACCTGCCGCCGGTCAGCCTGTCAGCAATTCGTGCCTCTTCCAGGTAATTCCGCGGATCAAAAGAAATCTGCTTTGTTGTATCTTACCTGGAGTCCATGCCAACGGTGTCTTGTCATTGAACAAGTACTCGTCAATGTTCTGCGCACGGTGGTAGTACAAGCGCAACTGCGTCTGCTCAGCAGTCCACTGGACGGGCGGATCGTCGCTGGAGCCGTTGACATACGCTGCTTGCGTCAGGGCGAGAGGCGTGCCGATGTTCGCCGCAACGATCCGAGTTGGGGGTTCGGTCCACCTCGGGCCATTTACCGCGAACAGATCGCCACCAGTCCCCTGGAAGACGACGATGCGGTCCCCAAGGCACCCTTTCGCGCACATGTGCGCCGCCGCCGCCAGCCCTGACATTGGATTCGCGGCGACTGTGACGCCCCAAAGTGGGCCCTTGGACCACGTTGATAAGTCATCCGCCGTACTCACAAGGTCGCGGATGTTGTTCTCAGTGTCCAAATAATAAAGAGCAGCGCTGAATGACATGTCTTTGCCAGCGTCGGCGCTCTTAAAACTGGCTGCCAGCGGTGTCGCGTTCATGGCCCCCACCGCACCCGCGGGGAACTGGGCCTCGATATCTAGTTCCCCCCATACTCTCTTGCCGTCGACACCAGCGGCATTATGGCTGACGTGAAGCGTCCCATTCCGTTGGTAGAAGATGGCTCTGCGCTGTGCCCCGGTGCTGTCTGTCCAGTTGACCGCGCTGAGCTGAGAGCCCAGTAGCTCGGCCTTTGCTGCCGACGATGTTGACGGGGACGGTGAGGAAGTCTTGATCTGGCGGCGCATCATCCCACCCACAACTGCCCCGGCGGTGGCACCGATGAGGAGCAGCACGACCAATACTGCGGTCGTCCAGAACCATGCCGGCCGAAGTCCGCATATTCTTCTGCTGACTGTTGGTCTTAGAAACTCCACATGCCGAGGTTGTAATTCACGGTCGTAATTATCGTAACAATCACCGTAGCCTGCTTTATAGTGATTATAACATGAAGGCCCGTATGGTTGGTTGCGGGCATATGCCCCTCTGTCTAGACTCGAGACTTCCTTTCCCTCTGAGTAATTGACGGGAATCTTGTGGGTGTTAAGTTCAGGACTTGGAAATACAGCCTGCGGGGCATCAGAGCCGTCGCTGAAGCTAGAAGCATTGGACATTTCGAAATTAAATATTAATAGTAGTAATACTGAAGTGAGCGTGGCCAGCGCATACTCCAGCAGTCACTGCACACAAGTAAGGGATGAAAGAGAATAAAAATAGAGACGGCAGGGGTAAAACGTGAAAACGGCATTCCCCGTTGTTGTTTAATATTGAACATCGTCGATCAATTAATTCTTCCCCCAGAGCATACCTAGGTATGCAGCCTGGGCTGACATCCTGTGGCCGTTGGCCGCTGAAGCCGGCCAGCTCAGAACTCTGACAAGGCAGATCCTTCGTAGACCACGCGACGAGCCAAGCACACCTACCCCGACCCCTTCTCGACCCCACGGCCAGGCATCCAGGCTGTTCCTCCATTCACGTCGCACACACCGTGGTTGCAGTTTCACAATTTGCACAACCACCCATGAGCCGGCCTCGGATCATAGTCGGACTAGCAATTTAGACGAGGCTTCGATGTGGATAGGTTGGCGAAGCAAGGCGACTGACGGCATTCTAAAACGTGAAAGGGCCTCTTCGATGCCAGCGTGTCTATTCGGGACCGAAGTTCGGCACCGATCGCGTCCGCGTCATATGAGCGATATTCCTGTCCATACCGCATTGCCCCCACCCTCCCCCCCGGTGTCAATTAACCTGGAATGGTCCCCACGGGTGCAGGCAGTTGCTGCGTGTTGGGGGAATTCCCAATGTGAGGTTTGCTTGGGTGTCCGCTACGCGTCCGGGGCTTCTATCCTCCAGCCTCCTGTGGGACAACCTCCTGTTGGACAACCTCCCGTGGGATAAACTGCCAAGGCTACCCCCCCTTGCTCCGCAGAACAACATCTCACAAGACAACATCCTAACCTCTTATAGGAGCAAAGGAGCACTTCCCAGAAGTCAACACATGAAAGGTATACAAGTTAGCTATAAGAGCTCTATTATGATATCTTCTTACTTTCTGAACAACGCGGCATTAATACGGAAACAATGTAATTATGTGACAGGCCCAAAAAGAAGACCTGGAGGGTCAACCACGATCCCAGCGACTCTGTACAGACCCTGGCGCATAAAGTCCATCCTTGGATCGCTTCCCAAGTAGTGATACGTCCATATCTTGGAGCGAAGTCGCATACGTAAGCCATTTCCAATTGAAATGCGAACGGCGAGGGGCCAGCTGATGGTACGCAGTGATGACGATTCTCAAGGGTTTCCGTGGCTCTGACATTGTTGTCAGCCAGCTGGAGTCCATGTTATTTGTTTTGATAACATAGTCTGTCAAGCAGACTGAACAGGATCCTCGTGCTTCGCGGCAGTCCGTGAGGGCAAACCCAGTCTCCAAGTATTGCCCAGGTACTAGTTCAAGGACACTTCTTCGTTGCGGCACACCGTAAAACCATGAACTCCGGCCGTATTCCAAAAGCCACTGCGGATAAGTGCCAGTGAGCCCCGGTATTCGCCTGCGTGAGATACTCAAACGTGGTCTTGCTTGGTGTATCGTAACATGGTTACAAATTCCATGCTGCGTGCGGTCAAGCTTTTGGCGATTTGTAGGGCCCGTTCCGTTGAGGGAGAGTGTATGGGACACGCGAAAATAGAGCTCATTCTGAATGACTCTTGCTTCGAAAGTAACCTCCCAGCCGCCCAAGGAATTAGGTAAGATATAGTTCAATAGACTCAAGTCCAGTCCATCCCCTAAGATACGCTTGTGAAAAGCGAGGAGAGCATGATTGAAAACAAGGTGGTACCCATCTCCAATCACAAGCTTCAGCCAACAGGAAGTATCAAAGCGATATCTTTGTCCTGGTCTGCACGGCGGACAGAAGTGATGGAGTATGTGACATACTTCACAGAAGAAGACCTCGGGAGTTGCTTGCTGAGGTCTCGCTCTAAAAGCTGAAGAAGCTGGTCGAGCTGCCACCGGTGTAGTTTGCCTTTCGGGAATAGAACGCCAAACAAGGAGGTAAAAGTTATTGAAAAAGCGATTAATGATTCTTTTGGAAGAAAGTCCGAGATTTCGAAGAGCAACTCGATGGGCAGTTGGAGAAGCAGTGACTGCGTCTGAAAACTGCGCTTTGGGTGGTGTCCGAGCAGACGTCTTCGGATAGAGCCTAGAATCGCACAAGCTCGGTCCATCCCTGAAGACAGTGTGCTGAAAAAGGACGGCTGCACGGCCGAATTTGGCGGAAAATCCCAGATATAACTCATTTCTGTGAATGTCGTTTGGTTCCTGTCCCTGCTGATTTTGCAAGCAACCTTGGAAGTTGGGAAGACTTTGAGGCCCCCAGGAGGTAAGGGGGGGAAGGCACTGCTGTGGCGTTAGGTACAGTAGAGAAGGTACAGAAACGCATATTTGAAGACATGAATTGGGCACGACATGATGCCGATACATCTTAAGTAGGGCTATGTCGCTTGTGATAAACTGGATTGTGGACAGCCTAGTCGCAGCCGCACAGACGTCGCTACTCGAGACCAACCTCCAGCGGCTCCGTAGACCACCACGAATCCTGACATCACTAGGGTTTAGTACTGTGGCTTTCTTGTTACTAAAGCAAGACCTTCGAGTTATTTTATGGCAGCGTCCGCACATAAAGCGCCAAAGGTTACGCCATGAAGTCGAAGCTATCTTTAAAATAGCTGTATTCATAGTAACCTACTTAAGTAACTGCCTACCTAGGTAGGTAACTTACCTCCCCCTCCCCCTCCCTCCTCCTCCCTCCTACCCCCCTAGTCCCCCCTATTTACACCTAAACCTACTAGATTTTATACAATAGGCTCTTTAGTATAATATAGTAGGCTTAGTTATACCTACTATGTTATACTACTATACTAAGTATAGTGAACGGCAACTGAGACGGACCCGTAGAATGGTACACCACAGATGCCCCCGGCCAAAAGACCATAATTCCAAGTTACCTCATAACTTGAAATCAACCACTTATTAAGAGATCGAGGATTCGCACCCGCAAAATTGGGGTGTACACCTATATAAGTGTATACCTAGGGTGCTAGTTAATTAGAGCACCGTATTTAACTTTAATCGACCACCCACACCACCCACTATACCAGGTGGGGAGCCCCTGCTGGGGCCCTGGGAGCTATTCGTCTAAGTTTAAGAGGGTAGGCTTGCGGCTACTATTAGGTTAATGTGACGGTCTAGAGCTAACGCCTAAAACTAAGCCTATAAACTACTAGAATAGCTAATTATTAAATTAGTTATTATAGTCTTTTAACCGAGCGGTCTATTGTATTAGTAGTTAATAGAATTTCTATAGATTTATCTTAATAACTAATTTAAAGAGTATAGGTTTAAGCCCTTATATTTAAAAAGATCTTATTTAAGGTATTAGTAAGTTAGTAGGTATAGTGTTTATAGTTTATAGTTACGGTGCTAAAATAGGTTGTTTACTCTAATAAAGTAACTTAAGTATACTATAGATACCTATTCTATTTAAAAGATTTTTAGATCTTTTATAGATACTTAATCTATCTTTAAGTTATTTAAGTGCTTTATAAAACCTTAGAGAGGATTATAACGGTCTAAAGTTAACGCTTAAAACTAAGCTTATAAACTATTAAAATAGCTAATTATTAAATTAGTTATTATAGTCTTTTAGCTAAGCGGTCTATTATATTAGTAGTTAATAAAATTTCTATAAATCTATTTTAATTAAATTCTTATTTAAACTTTTATTTAAACTTTTATTTAAATTTTAATTTAAATATATATATATATTAAATTTAAATGTTTTAATTTAAATTTCTTTATTAAATAAAAGTTTTATAAATTATAATTTAAATAAATCTTTATATAAATAAATTAAACTTTATTATTCTATTATTAATATATTTTAAAATTAAATTAAATTAACTTTAAGTTAATTTAAAGTTTAATATTAATATATAAAACTTTATTATATTTAATATAATACTTCTTTATTAATTTTAATAGTATTTACTTTTTAAAATTTCTTTCTTTCTACATATTATAAATTTTCTATTTATTATTCTATTATTCTATTATTCTATTATTCTATTATTCTATTATTCTATTATTCTATTATTCTATTATTCTATTATTCTATTATTCTATTATTCTATTATTCTATTATTCTATTATTCTATTATTCTATTATTCTATTATTCTATTATTCTATTATTCTATTATTCTATTATTCTATTATTCTATTATTCTATTATTCTATTATTCTATTATTCTATTATTCTATTATTCTATTATTCTATTATTCTATTATTCTATTATTCTATTATTCTATTATTCTATTATTCTATTATTCTATTATTCTATTATTCTATTATTCTATTATTCTATTATTCTATTATTCTATTATTCTATTATTCTATTATTCTATTATTCTATTATTCTATTATTCTATTATTCTATTATTCTATTATTCTATTATTCTATTATTTTATTATTCTATTATTTTATTATTCTATTATTCTATTATTTTAATATTTTATTATTTTATTATAAATATTTATTTTAGTTTTTAATTTAATAGAAATATTAAAAGTATTATAATTTAATATTAATTTATAAAATCTTTAAAAAACTTTTATTAAATTTTAATTTATTTTTATTTTTAATTAAAGTTTTACTTAAATTTATAATTAATATAATAATATAAATTAATAAATAATTAATTTTAAGTTATAAAGTAACTTAGAATTATAGTTTTTTAATTAAGGTATTTATAATATACTACTTTATAGGTCTATCTTAATTTTAAGTTAAAAGGGTATAAGTTTAAGCCTCTATATTTAAAAATTCCAGTTAGTTCCTAGTTAATTTAAGTAGTCCCTACAATACTTAAAGCAAGAAGCCTCTATCTAATAAACGGCTAAGAAGTAAGTATATTTATAAGCCTTATAAAATATAACGGTTAGGTGAAAGCTATAGGGAAGCGCCTTAAAGGCATCTTAATGCCTAACTATACCCCTTCCTTAAGCCCTTTAAAAGATAGGTAATACTTACTTACCTTTTCTTTAAAAGAAATAA